ACACACACACACACACACACACACACACACACACACACACACACACACACACACACTCAAAACACACACACACACAAGTAAAGGAAGCTTGTTTCTTTACTCCTGCATTCAGGAGGCTAAGGCAGGGGGATGACTAGTTAGAGGCTAGCCTGGGCCATACATCAGAATGTAAGCCATCATTCCTTCTCTTAGGGAACACAGTGCCACCTAAAGTTAAGAGACAGAGAGAGGTGACACACAGCCTTTCGTGGACATCTAACTACATGGGCGTGGAAATATTTCTTCTGTCAAGCAGATGGCATGCTCTATCACCAGCTTGTAAGTCACTTGTGTAATGTTTTTCAGCTGAGACAACAACACACTCCTTACATCGTATCAGAAAAGGAACGACTCCCAAGATTTCCAGGCAATACAGCCAGTTTTCAAATTCAAACTCCCCAGTTAACCATCATAAATGGTTTCAAATATGCCATTCTTGGCCTTCATTTGCACCAAACCCTGCATAAGCATGCAGCAACGTTGTACATGAGGTACTTCAACAGTCTGTCTTTCCTTTCCCCTGGCATGCTATCATTCATAGGAGCTAGAGTTCTTTCCCAAATCAAGCTGTCTTTATGCTACATAGAGGAAGTGCAAACTCTGGGCTATGCCGGTATCTCCTGCAGGCTAACGGACTACCTCAGCTCTGCTATGCCTGCACTTGCTCTTTCACTTAGTGTGGTGTGGTCTGTACCCACTGCTGTGATATGAATGAAAACATTTCTTCCACAGTTTATGAACACTCAGTCCCCAGGTATCGGTACTGTTTGGGGAAGCTTGGGAGGTGAGGTGTGGCCTTGTTGGAGGAAGTGCATCACTGGAGGTGGGCTTTGCCAGCTAAGGGCTTCACCTATTTACTCCCAGTTCTCTCTTTCAGCTTCCTGCTTGTGGGTCAAGATGTGAGCTCTCATCTTGCTGCTCCAGCTACCATGCCTGCTGATTGCACTCCATGAAGGACTATTATCCCTGTGGAACCGTAAGGCTAAGGACACCCTTCCCTCTCTAAGTTGTCTTGGTTGTGCTGTTGCATCACATTGATAGAGAAGTAGCTACGGAACCTATCTTCCTGGTGGAGACATGACAGATGATGACTCTGATTCATGAAGCCTTTGTGCTGGATGGACACCCTCAGGGCCGAGTCCTTTTCTGGTTTGAAGTCATAGAATGTACTCTAAAGCGGATGGGGCCATAAGGGGCTCAGCAGACTCAGGGCTTTGCAGTCAAGCCTAACGACCCCAGGACCCACACAGTAGAAGGAGAGAACAGACTCCTGCAGGTTGCCTTCTGACAAAGTAAGCAAATGTAATAAAATACTAGAAAGTAAGTAAATAAAAAGGGGGATAAGAAATGGCATGAAATGTGGAGCTGTTTTGGAAATCATTTTCTTACACAGTCACCAGTGACCTAATGTGCTGATGAAGAATAGAGCTTTATTTCATTTTACCAAACACCTGGAATTGTTAAGAAGTTAAGGCAGAGGAGGGAAACAAAAAAACACGAATCCAGTATTTTTTTTTTTTTAACCAGATTTAAGATTTTTTTTTTTAATTCAAATTGACCCAAAGCAAAACTTACATTACAAAGAAAGAACAGAATATATTATGATACAACACACTGGGAGTTACATGAAAGCTAAATTTGTGGGCAAACAAACGGCCTTGTCCCAATCCCATCCTGGGCTAACAAGTAGATTCATTAGGGAAGTTAGAAGTGCTTTCGTATGGTCCACTCTGGTCATTAAGCTACACTTTCTTGTGTCTTACGAGGGTGTGAGTTTAGACTCCCTCATGCTCCAAGAGTGACTCCTGCCACTGCTAGAATGCTGACTTCTCCAGCAAAACGTTGTTCCACGCATGACTGATAATGAATTAAAAAAACCAACAATCAAGTCATCCAAACTAATGAGCACGGGTTATTCTGTAGTAAATAGTTTAGAAATATGGGAATTAAATAATCTAAAAAACCACTCTTACTCTGCTGTACATTTATAAACACAAATATTTACAAAGAAACACCCTTGTTTGCAAAAGATGAGGTTTGCAGTTCATTAGTGATCATAATCTTTTATGAGCTGGTTTCTTTGGTGTCTTTGCCAAATGCATTTTACAAAGTTTTAGGAATAGGCTTAAATAATACATTTCAAAAGAAACACAAAAGAATCAGTGGCAAATTTTGAGTCAAGATTCTGGAATAGCCAATAGTTTGAAAATGCTTGTTTTTCTCTCCTCATGGCCACAGAAGGCTTCTCTGATAATCAAATTCAAGTGCAGACCTGCATGTCATCATGGTCACAGTAGGAACTATACAGCCTTTCAGTCACCATAAGATACAGTATATGACTGGGGTTCTATTAATAAACAAAAAACATTCTTTTAAGCTTCCAGATAAATCAAACCTCAAACAATAAATAATAGAATTATAGACTTCTTCATTAAATAGAATTTTCAATTCCAGGAAGAGCGTTCATAATTTTTTTTTTTTTTCTGAAGTCACAGCAGCACACAGAACAAAGAATTTGCCTTAATATGATCTTTTTACTTGGGATTCCCTTACTCAATTTCATGGGTTAGTTCAGGACCCTCTCCATGGTGGGGAGTGAATGTCATTTTTAACTCACTGAATAAATTAATACACCCATGAGTCCTGTGCCGCTGGGACACCAACATGGCAGCTCAGAGTGCAGACTCCTCCTCCCACCACTTCCCATACTGGGCTTGGGGTTCTAATAGAAGTTAACACTCAAGAAACTCTGGTCACCTTGTGTCCCCCAGGCTGCTTGCTATTCATGGGTCCCCAGCCTTCACCTCGATCCTGAATAAAAAATGAGAATACAGTTGTGCAGGTGTCTTTGAAGGGGAGTCTCCATGGAGATAACCTTTCAGACAAGGTCACAACAAACATCCATCCCTATCCACTGGGTTCCCAGCTACTCAGCCATAACTGAGATCAGCCGTAACTGGCTACATGCGTGCGCCCTAGCTTGCTGACGGAGTCTATGGGCCACAATACCAAGTCCCTGAATCATCTTTTGTGTCCAAACTGTTTGTTCAGGAATCAGTGTAACATCGAGGCACTCGAAGATTCCATGCTCTGATGCCACAGCTACTTTGCAGCCAAGACGACAAACTCTGGGCTTGAGAAAACAGCACTGCTGGCCTGAAGTCAGTGAAGCTGGATTCTGTTTAGTCACACTTTGGGGTGAATGAATTTTATGCTCCATGCCCCCAAACTGGCAATTCTGACAAGAAAGGAAAAGCCCTTACCTTGCAAACTTATGATAGCAAATTCATTAACAGTTATAAATATTTAAAAAAAAAATTGTCATGGCACTAAGAATGACATCGGGGCACTTGAAAAGGCTCTCCTCAAACTAACATAATGACGAATGAAGCAGTGAGCATGTGTCCGAAGGCACATCCCTGATGCCTAGTGCCTACGGGACCTTCCCCCTTGCTACTGACACTTCTCCACATCTGGGTCTATCTTGCACAGACATGAACAACCAACCCAGAAAAATCAACTATTTGTCTTGAAGAGCTTTACTGTACCTAGCTTCAAAACAGACAGGAAATATTTAATTAGCATATTAGCAATTTGCCAGGCTCACAAGAATGCCTATGAGAGATTTTACCCTTAAAATAGATATGTAGACATATTACCAGGAAGAAAAAAAAAAAAAAACACCATGAAACCATCCCAAATCATTTAATTATTAGCAAAATGTGGGTTAGTCCTAGGGAACACTGTATCACCAGGATATGAAATTTGTTCCTTAAAGTGAAATGAAACAGAAAGCTTAAAATGGAAGTTAAGGTGACATCCTATGGGTGTGCAGTGGGAATGGAAGTGGGGCTCCTGCTCTGAGGGGCACGAGGAAGCCGCCGGCCGAGGAATGGGAAGAGTGAGAGGTCGAGAGACTACACCAAGAGAGAGCTGCACAAGAGGCACTGTTTATAAAAACAGAATACACTGGCTTTAAAAAGTTAATTCCTTTCCCCATTATTTTTGTTTTAAAAGCACAATTCAACAAGAGAGAGAGGAGTCAAAACACAATGTCTCAGGGTAGTGTCCTACAGTTGTTTAAAAAAAATAATTTAAAAATAAGCGCACACCAAAAGGAAGCAGAGGTACTGGGTTTTTCCCCCCCCCATTGGAAAGCTACATTAATTAGAAGGGAAAAAAAGAATTTTTAAACAGCTCATCTGTACTCATTAAAGATGAATGAGGTGATAACATTACTGCAAGTTTCTTCCCAGGGAATTTTCCAGTGTCACCCAGGATCTCCTAGGTGAGCCTGAGACCTCCACACTTAACAAGTATTCTACTGGTTTCTAGTACCTCATTCACTAGTGAAACCAGAGCATCGAACCTGCCTGTGTTTGTGCATTTAGGAAAAACAATTTTTCTAAATGCAGTATTGTATAGAAATATATATATATATATATATATATATATATATATATGTATCTATATAAAATCCCTCCCCTAAAATGAAAACCAAACAAACAAAAAACCTAAAAGTGTATACCTGCCGCCTTCTGACTTCACAGCAAATCAGAAATTGCATAGGATATACTTTGTGCAAGGCCCAAAGCCTTTTGAGTAGCTGGAATAACTCTTAATCTTGCTCACAGTCCAGGTACATCAGATATCATCAAATTTGTGTTTTAAGTAGTCTTTCATGACCTTGGCAATTGGTAGTTCATCAAGCAGCTTCAGGTTTTGAAGGCCTATACACTGTCGAATTTTAATTCGGCACAGGTCCTGCAGGGTTCTGGGTTGTCCTAAAATGACAGAAAAAAGAAAATGTTACAAGGCTATGAAGCAGAGCACTGAAGAGGGAGAGTCTCTGCTGTTGGGGAAGTGTTGTTTTCCAAGGAAGTACCTGCTGCGGACCTGACAGGCAAAGGGCTGGAACATTGGACTGACTGAAATCCAAGTGTTACTGGTACCTTCGTGTGCTGCCTCAACTACTTGGTCTTTTCCAAAACCCTTTACAAGATGGTACTGTTATGGTCTGAATATGCAACAACCCTGTCAGGCACATGATTAGAAAGCTTATGCCTAGATCATGGCACTGTTTTGGCGAGTGTTGTGGAAGCTCCAGGAGGTAGGACCTAGCTAGAGGATACAAGTTACCTGGAGTCAGACATTGGGAGTTTATTATCTCTAGATCACATCCTGTCTTGTTTCCTCTTCTCTATCTACTATGACAAGAACAGTCTCAGTTGCCATGACTTTCTGCCCAAACACATGGTAGCAGTCAACTGTGGATATAACTATCCGAAACTGTGGTCCAAAAGAATCTCTTCTTGCCGGGCGTTGGTGGCACACGCCTTCAATCCCAGCACTCGGGAGGCAGAGGCAGGTGGATCGCTGTGAGTTCGAGGGCCACAAACTAAACAAAAAAAACCCCCGCGAAAAAAAAAAAAAAAAAAAAAAAAAAAAAAAAAAAAAAAAATCTCTTTTCTTCTAAGTAGCCCATGTCTGGTAATTGGACCAACAAGCAACTAAGGTAGATGCCTCCATCTCTACTTTACAAATGAGGTCCTCTGGATGAGAGAGTTAAGTATACTGGCTGCTGTCAGACAGCCAATTGTAACTTAGAATAATGCTGAGGACAGTCTTTCTGATTCCAAGTCCAGTATCCTTTCTACTACAAATCAAGAAATTATGGGTTTGTCCTGATGAGACTCTAATACAAAGGCGAGTGTCTGTGAGCAAATAGTTTCTCTGGGTCTCAGTTTCTCCACAAGAAAAGCATGGACTGAATGAGATGCTCACTAAGGTGGACTGTTTGACTCTGAGGCTAAGATGCTGGGGCCTTGACATAGCGCCATCTCTAAAGGGCTTTGCAATGATGTCTGCTTGCCTATTCACTATCAGGGTCAGAGCAGACCCTGGCTAAGGGATAAGGGCTGGATGGTCCAGCAGCAGGGGAGTTTAAAGGCAGTTCAAGCTAATCTGCATCTCTAGTTCACTTCATAATCCACATCCTGATCATTGGTCAGTAACCACTGTTGTCACTGAATCCAAAACAAAAGCAATCAAATTCAATTCCGTTTCTCCCAACAACTTTGTGTTTATAACTTAACAGTACTGATAATTACTGACATAAGGAAAACTTCTTTAACAATGCCTCAGTAGTGTCTGGAGTCACACAGGACTAACAGTATGAAAAGGCTACCCCATACCGAATGCCTGCTGTTCCATGCACAGCACAAGCTTCTGACATGTATGGAGTCCTTTAATCCTTTTACAAGTGAGGAATATATAGCATCACTCCAATTTACTGCAGTCTCAGAGCGATTAAGTAACAAGCTTCAAAAGTCAAGGAGATAGCGTATTTCAGTGGCTATCAAACATTTAGTCTCAAATCCCATTATGTTTTTAAAAATTACTGAGGATATGAAAAAAACTTTGATGTGGGCAGTCGCTATGGTGATAACCACATCAGAAGTTACAGCAGAAATTTTATAAATACCTGTTAATTCATTTAAAAAGTAATTAAAACAAACTAATCACACATTAAAATGAACAACATTTGATGAAAACTCTACAGAGGACAGCTGAGCTTTCTTGTGAACATTTGCATTCAGTCTCAGGAGAGAAGGAACAAGAAGAGGGCAGATAACACCACGCTGCTGGTATGAGATCACTCTGACCTCACAGCCTCCCTGGGAGGGTCCCAAGCTGTACTTGGATAAGCACTGCTGTTCCCAGTACTTTATCTCTTGCTTGCATTGTTTTTGCAGTGATGTTGCAAAATTAAGTAACTCTTCCTAAGTGAAAAGAGCTCCCTTAGACTTAGACCTCCTGGTCTGACGTTGGTGCTCAGTAGTGTAGTGCACTTCCCTAGGGAGCACACGGCTCCAGGTTCAACTCCCAGCATCCCACGAGAGGAAGGGAAAATAAAAGACTGAAGACTTTGCTCAGGAAGACCTGGATGAACACACTGCTTTCCAAGAGTACCACACACGTGGTCTCCTAGGAGTCACAGCACATAAATGCTTTCTTGGAAATGCCTGTGACTAGGATGCAGATGTGGATACAGAAGTCTGCAGAAGGATACACACAAGGAAGTGACAAGCTCACACACGTGTCTGTCTCTAGACAGATCATATGTCCTCCATTTGCCAGGCTGATGCAAAAGCAGGTCAGGTTATCTGTCACATACTGTCAGAGATGCCACTAGCATTAGTATTTGACTGAGTCCCCCTAACATGTGACATTTAAGACAACACTCCATTATGTTATTTGTTTGCTCCAGGGCAGTGCTTCTGGAAAGCATCACTGGAGATTCCATTGCAAAATAGTCCATTCACTCAGTGTCTAGTGGGTGAGAGCTGTGGCCACTGGAGCTCAACTGGGACCATCCAGGTCTACATGTGCTGGAATGCTTCGCTTAGTGAAGTCCTAGGCCCAAGTATATTGGAATGCTTTTCTCAGTTTGTTAATTTTTCTTCTTCTTAAGCAACATGCCATGCACAGCATCCTGTAATATTTTGGAAGAATGCTGTCTTTTAAAGATTTCTTAGTCAAATGTAATGCCTGACTACAAAATTGCCTTGAATGATAAGGGCATATTGTAGTGGTTAAAATCAACAGTGTTGGAGGTAGAATCCACAGGCTCCTTGGCCCTAGCACTCACCACCCAGACGATCTGGGCTGAGGTGTTTAGCCTGCTGCCTTAGTTTCTTCATAGCAGCACCTACCTCAAAGGTTTTATAAGAATTAAAAAACATTCATTGTGACAAAGTGTTGAGAACATTGCAAAGCAAACTGGAAAATAAATTCTAAAAATAATAGTTGCTAAACACTTGCAGGGATAATATTTCTTCTCATTTTCAGGAAACTAGAAGGCCATCCTCGGAAGGTGGTCTCCGTCTTCCTGGTATGAAGATGGTAAGATAACAAGATGGTTAGAAGGGACAAGTAGTGCCCACTAGAAGGGAGGAGTTGGGCCAACTGCTGGACAGTTACCGTATGGCATCACTGCATGATGTCAGCCATATGACTTCAAAGGGCTGGAGATGAAGGCTTTTACGGTGTGAAAAGATGTGTATCAGAGAAAGGGCCTGAGAGTCCTCTCTGCTCACACCGGCTTGTCAGCATGCGGAGTCAACAGCAGGCTAATAGCAGAGGGCAGTATGGGCGGCTCACTGTTACTGTTACTCACAAACATCCCCGAGAGTCTTTCTTTGGGGATAGCATCTTGGGACCAGAATATGATTCAAAGATGAATATTCATTTCTTGTTAACAGACCACATAAAGGCATTTCCTGAGGACCTACTACACATTTAGCAATGTGGTGTCCAAAGAATAGAGGGACAAAGAAGAGAAAAGGAGCAGAAGGGAAAAAAGGAAGAAAGGGAATGTGGGTGGGGTAGACAAAAATGCTTATCCCACCCACCAGGCATCATAGGAAATGAAATGGGCTTGTAACAGGGAAGGTTGGCAGACCGCTCCTCATAGACTGTAATTTATGGAATTATAAACACTGGAGGATGCAGCAAGAACTACAAGGTGTTCAGACTAATGAACTATAGTGAGCTTACACAATAGTTCAAAGGGTTAATCTTGCCAGGCTGTGGAGAGGCCTATCATTACTAATAACCAGGTTGGCACAAAAGGAAATCTGCTTCTGAAGGGCCCAGTTTAGCATAAATAAAAAGCCCAAGCAAAGGTATAACTTAGAAAATCAACTGTCCTGAAGTAGCTCCCCTTGTGGCTTTTATGAGGGAGACCTGATTTACTTCTTAGAATAAAGACAGTCTGGACTTAGGAACTGGGAAGATGGCTTGGCTGTTAAAGAGTGTGAATTGGCCTTCCAGGGGACCTGATTCCAGCACCCATGTCAACTGCTCACAACTGTCTGTTACTTCAGTTCCAGAGAATCCAGTGCCTCTGGTCTCTGTGAACACCTGTGCTCATGTACATAAACACCCATACATACTTAAAAATAAATCTTTAAAACATACTCATACTCACAAAGGTAGACAAAGACCAAACATTTAAAATAGTCAAAGGCAACCACACAGAAGATGGAGGAGTCCTAGGCTTCTTTGTGGTTGTGGACAGTGACACAGGGCAGGGAGGAGAGGGGGGAGAGAAATCGATAGGGTGCTCCCCTCCTCTGGACTACTTCAGAGTCTGTCACCCCTAAAGAACCTCTCCATCTTCATCGGCATCCACAATGATCTCCTAATATTTCTTTTTAATTCCAGTTCCTACTGTAAAATTCTATGGTAAGCATGCTTTTTCTTTTAAAGACAGGGTCTCATTATAAAGCTCCAGCTGGCCTAGAACTTACTGTATGTATCAGGCTGGTCTACAGTTCACAGATCCACGTGCCTTTGCCTTCTGAGTGCTAGGATTAAAGGTGTGTACCACCATGTCTGGCCAATCATACCTTATTCTTTTTCTCTTGCTTCTGAAGTCTTCTCAGGAGGATAAACAACTCTTACTTTATAGGTCCAATGGCAGCTTCTAGCTCCCTTAGAATAAGAGTCACAGTATCCACTCACACTTCAAATATACACAGTATCTATCAACTTTCTGATGTAAGTCTATTGGTCATGGTTTTCCTTAGGCAACCGAACATTGATGATCTGAATGAGATGTCCTCCATAATCTTGAGCACGTGAATGAGTGGTCTCCACTTGGTGGTAGTCTTTGGGGTGGCTTAGGAAGTGTGGACTTGCTGGAGGAAACACATCACTGGGAGTGAGCTTTGAGAGTTTAAAGACTCCTGCCATTGCTAGTTGGCTCTCTCTGCCTGGT